AATTTAATATATATTTTAGAAATTAAAATTTAAAATCATTAAAATATTTAATAAATATTTATAAATTCTATACCTTTCAGGTAATTTGGATTTAAGCAAAAATATTGAATATAAAGTTATCCAGTTTGCCTATTCTTCTACTTTAAATCCAGCATTCGTATTCCAAATATTATGTGGTGGTTTTCCAAATCTAATAGCATATTTTTTTTATTATTTTCCATTTCTATGCCAATTTTTTCTTTCCAAAATGAACACAAGCTTTAATAAAGATGAGATTAACTCAACATTTTAATAGATCTCAATTGTATAATGCAAGCAACTAAATTTTTATTTTTATGTTATTTTTATAGAATTATAACTGTAATTATCAAAATAAAATTGGCTATATTTATCATTATATTTGTTTTTTAGGAAACTTTGAGATGAATTTATTTCTTATTATTAATTATTCATTAAAATTTAAATAGTATATATATTAAAGACTTTGAAAGAAGATGATAATAATAATTGATATCAGGCTATCCTGTTACTAAGTCTTATTTGTAAAACAAATTATATCTAATATGCTTCTTTTAGGCTTATTATTATACATAAATATAATTTGCAGTTAGTATTATAACAACTAATTCAAGAAATTAAATTTGAAAATAATCCTATTAAATTAGATAGCTTTTATATAGTTGTATTAGTTTATTTTCCTCAATAAATCTATAATAGGTTAGAAAAGGAAAGATAATATGCTAAATTTGAAAATTTAAAAAATAAAATATTATGATTAGCATATAATATATTGATAAGAAGTTTTTAAATTAATTCTTCAAATATTAAAAGAATTTTTAATGTTTAATATATTGATAATACCCAAAAAGAAAATTTCAGAAAGTATTTTATATGAAACAAATACAAATTGATTTGAATTTAAATATAGATATATTGGTAAATTAGTAATTAGTAGAATTATATTGTTATGATCAGTTCTTTATGTTACTTAAATGTTATAAGCAGATGGATAATATATGTGATAAGCAGAAGGTTTAATTTATAGTTAAGATTTGATAAAATATAGGTATCAATAGTTTATTTGATATATATTAACAAATGAGTATTGCTTCAATCATTGACGCTTCTGTACTGTATAAATGTTCTAAATAATTAAACTAAACTAATCTAAACTATTCCTATAAGTCTTTACCTGAGTGAACTCTCTAAATCTCCAAGGATTCCCAACTTATATTTATATAAAATAAAACATATATAATCGTTAATAATGTTAAATAAATAAACTAAGTATAATAAATAAATTACATTAAATAAATAAAGTAAAGAAAATAAATAAAATAAGTTAACTATGTAAATAAGGTAGATAACGTAAATAAGGTTAACAAGATTAACATAGTTTCTAAGGATCTACATTCCTAATGATTTTTGTGTAATAATATATTAAAGCATATGTTAATATGTGTGCAAGATGCAAATAAAATTAGAATTTAATTTTTATTAATTTTTTCTTTTAGGATTTAACATGATATGAGGCTTTTGCAATAGAAAGGGGAGAAATTGCCGGAAAAATTAAAAATGAGTTAATGCTAAATTTGAACATATTTCAGCCTAAAAATCCTATTTAGCATATAAAAGTAAAATTAATTTTTCTGGCAGTTTTCCCCTTTCTATTACAAAGGTCCCATATATTTCAAGATAATATTATTGAATATAAATATGATTGGAAAAAAACATTACTTAAAAACCTTATCAAGAATATTTCAAGGTCTTTAATTATTTTAATTATTGAAATATGATATATATAATAATCAATTTATGCACAACTTTAACTTACATAATATATTATTCTTTTATAAGATGAGAATCACATATACATATGCTTAATATTGATTAATAAAGGAATTACTTATCATCATTTTATCAAAATTCTTATAAAAGCATGTCAGCTTTTTTCAATATTTTATTAATTTCATCAAGATAATATAATAATCAAGCTGCACAATTATCTGGTAATATTTATGCAATTTCTAATATAAAGTATTCTTACTTAGATATGATATGTAGAGAAAATATATTTACACTGGAATTAAAAGAAGTTGTAAATAATTGATAACAATATGTAAGGGTTTATGGATTATAAAAAAAAGTTTACAATCTTATTTAATAATTAGAACAAGAATTAGAGTATATTAATTTATTCAACAATTTTATATATTCTGAAGTTAGTTTGAATTGAATGGAAGATAAGGAAAATACAGATGAAAGCCAAATAAAATTTCCATCCCAATCTATGTAAAACCTTGAGGGAGACCACCTCAAAAAAGTATAAAAGTTCTTTAAAACTAGTCGGCCAAATGCAGTAACTTTAGAAATATAAATCAAAATGATCACAGAACAAATAGTAAGCTTAATAGCTCTAATAAGCAGTTAAAAACATGTGGAAAGTATAAGTAATATACAATACACAATAGACAGACATATAATGTAGATTGTTAACTTTACAATGAAATTAATCTAGAATTTCAAAAAAATAATAGTATAAAGATGTATTTTATTTCTAATGTAAAATTGTAATGAAATTGCATTAATAATAAAGTTAATATTTTATATTTTAAACATTTAATATTAACCGGGATCTTCATATTTATAAATGTTTCCGGGTAGGGCGATTATTCACAGGGAGGAGCTTTAGCAACGCCGTTATATGTTATATTTTTGATCATTTATGTAGTTCAAGAATTTCCCTAATAATGGGTGACAAATAAGCGTGACAAATATGATTTCACACCTAACAAATGTGTGACGCGGGGTGATGCGTTGAGTTGGAAATTTCCAGTCACATAAAAAATTGATGATCTCATCAATGAAATTTATTATTAATAAATGTAAAATCTAAATAAATGTAACACTAATTAAATTCATATATTGTAAATTAGAACTAATTTGGTTGATTTAACTCTAATTGTAAATCTGTCTGATGATGAATAATTAAGTAATTGTTTTAACGTAAATTTTAATCCATAGCCAAAGTCACGTGAAAATTTATTTTTCAAATCGTGAAATCATATTTATGAAATATTTCGCTGTGTATTTATTATATTATATAATTTACATTAGCTATAAAAGAGATGTTGAACATCAAGTCCAACGCCAAATTATGATTTATTTTTTCTGTCAAAAAAATTACCGATCACTACTGAACTTTTTCGCTTTTATCGACTTTAAAAATAAAAGGCATTGTGGCATGGTAACGGTTAGCAAAAGCCGTCCTTTTCACGCAGCAGACTTTTAAACGTTATTTGAATTAGGAGCTTCATTTACAGTTATATTATTTATAACTTGTTTTTTTCTTCTTGTGAAAAAGAATGCAGCAATAAGAATAGCTATAAGCAAAAACACAACGGTTACTGCAGCAACAATAGGTCCAACATTGTTTATGACGAGAGTTGAACCAGGAAGTGAATCATCACTATCCTTAGCAGGAACTTGAGGAGGCGGCGTCGTCGTTGATGATGGGTCATTTTCTATTGGAATTGGTGTGGGAGATTCTTTATTTGGAGTTGGTTTAGGAGGCAGAAAGGTTTCTGTGACTGTAACTATCGCAGTCTTTGTTGGAGATTTTACTGCTTGCGGGTCTACATCTTGTGCTGCGCTCTGCGCAGATACTTTTAATAAATAAAGAATTATTAGGTTAATAACTTATAATCGAAAGAAGAATTATTAATGTATTAATATCGATATGACTTACATATAACGAAAGCAAAGAGAACCCAAAGGATCAACCTTAAAGCATTATAAGATCGTGTCATTTTGAACTTGCAAAGTGAAGAGGAAAAAAAATAAATAAGGTAAATATATATCTATATATATATCTATGTATATGTATGTAAAAAAAATGATAAAAATAAAAATGAAAAAAAAAGAATGAATGTAAAGGGAAAAAAAGATGTGAAAAGGGATCAATAAAAAAAAATGCAAGCTATAAATTGAGCAAAATTTTTTGAGTTGGTGGTAGGCTATCAAAGCCTAACTGTAAAAAGATTATGGAATGCAAAGAAAAAGAAAAAAACCACCACTGAAGGGAAAGTCCTTAGTTGAGTTCGTTCTTTTTAACGAATTATCGTGAAATGTTTACAAGTTGTGTTGCAATGAACTACAATGTACATCTTCGGGCGAATAATCGGGTTACTCATTTTGATCCCTAATTATGTGTTTGAAATAATACTTATTTTATTTTAATGTTTATATCCATACAAATATAGTACAATTAAATTATATAATTTGACTCGAACAAAGGATTTGAAACAATAAAATATTTTTATAATTAATGGCTACAAAGCAAAGAGCTTGATATTATGTTTTTAACGTTGGAGAGACGATGACATTTTTTTTTTTTGTATTTCACATCGGTCGGATTGTCTAAGATGTGGTTCGGCTCTAATTTTGGAAAACAAAATAGCTATGATCGAATTAAAATCATTTTCTCATTTGTTTTCTCAATGAAATATCATTGTTATTTACTAAATAAACCTAAAATGTATAACAAATTTTTATAATGTTTATTTGACTTAATAGGTACAAACCTTATTAGGCACAAAACCATTGTTTTTATATCAAAATTATTATTAGATTTGCATCATACGACAATTGCATTAAACAGTAAAAACGGATTCATGGGCTGATACATATAGGGGATAATTTCAACCATATCATATGATTAACGCATTACATATCTAAATTCTTTTGTGAAACACATTCTACATTATAAAATCCCTTAATTAGATCTACTATTTTTTTAATTATCATAATATAATTTTCATGCGGAAGATCAAATTGTTTTAAAATCATCTTACATGTATAATAACGTGTAACAAAAAAATATCTCGATTTGGGTTGGAAGATGAAACTTATACTAATTACGAAACTTGACAAAACTATTTTTGCCGAATCCGACATATTGTTTATTCATAAATCGCGATTATCTATCCAAAATTAACTTATTTAAGATTTCGGAAAATCTGGTTTACTTTATAAAGTAAAAGAAATATTTAATATATAAAAGATCATTTTTATATATATATCTATACTGTAAATAGTTAATAAATAATCGTCAATTAATATAATATATCGCAATTATTAATAGTATAAGACAGTTATGTATTTGATCACGGGTGTTACGCAATTTGAAAATTTTATTCTCTTTTTCTTTTTATTATATATAATTCTGCTTTTTTTAAAAAAAATGGTATTTTATTTTAATTTAACACTATAGGTATTTTTACTGAAAAACATTCAAGAATATATGTTCTTATTCAAGAAGAACCTAGAAGATTTATTGCAAAAAAAAGAAAATCTAATATAATCTTCTATTATTAGAATTAAAAAAAGTTGAATAATTAATTATTTTTCAAAATTATGATATCCAAAAATATTTATAGGATGAAATAAGTATAATTAGAGTGAAGCGAAGGATTATATATGGTCTAGACTGCATAATACAGAAATGTCCTGATGTCCGCCTGCTCAAAAATTGAGTTGATACATAATTGGTTTTTTTCGTTACATACAGTCCCAGCCAAAAGTAATGGCGGTTAGGATAATACTTAATTTTTTAATTGTAATATCTCTATTATTCTGATT